GTTTGCTCTTCTGTGGACCAGACAAAGTTCTCTACGTCATTTTCGCTCAGTAAGCAGATTTGATGGTCTGTCAATCTTGTGAGAAATCTGTGAAATAATTTAATGAGTACTCATGTCTGTTAAATATTGATAAATTAATTTTTATTATTTACCGGTGAAGATTTGTTGCGTTTTTTTGTTTGTCAATTGCATCCTTTTCAGTATAGAAACCCTTTTCCGGCCATAGTATTACAAGACCCAAATCCGACTTAATCTTTAGTAGGTAAAGTCCAGTAGCCAACGTTGGCTTTAAACTGCGAACTGATTCGGGTTTCCGTTCGGCATCGATAAATTCCTCGTATCTGCACAATAGAGTTTGTTGTACATAAAAACAATGTAACAAAAAGTGATAAATACTTTAAAAATACTTTAAAAACACCACCAACCTGTGCTTGTCAATAACATTATTTTGCAACAATAATTTAAAGATAAGCTCACGATTCCCATAACAACCAACAATTCGAATTTTGACTTCTGCCAGTTTTGCAAATCGTATATCAGAAATGGAGCGATAGCTTTCCTGAGCCAACGATTTGCAGACTCTCTCTAAATCAGTAGGATGTATAACAGCCTTGTGAACTAAAAAAAAATCAGCTATTTTTAATCCTTGTGCATTTACATGATGAGCATTTGCTTGTAACATTATATTGGTCTAGTTTCGCATACCTAAACCCATGTCACTTTCGTCAGCACATAATTCAATCAGCTGATAAAAATTTGGAATCAATTGGCAGAGATCGTTGTCTTTACTTTCACTTTTATGATCATCGAACATTTGTTTATCTGTTCGATCTTCTTGTTGAACGCTTGTGGAAACAATAAGTCGATCAGGGTCTTGAATATCCGTACTCCGAACGCCTTCTTCGAGTGTGTTCAAATTTAATTCTTCCGGGGATTGATCATCGGGCGTTTGTTCATCCGTTCGTTGAACGCTTGTGGGAGCAATAAATTGACCAGAATCTTGCATATCCGTATTCCGAACGCCTTTTTCGAGTGTGTTCAAATTTAATTCTACTGCCGATTGATCATCGGGCGTTTGTTCATCCGTTCGATCTTCTTGTTGAACGCTTGTGGGAGCAATAAATTGATCAGAATTTTGCATATCAGTTCTCCGAACGCCTTCGAGTGTGTTCAAATTTAATTCTTCTGCCGATTGATCCTCCGGTGTTTGTTCATCCGTTCGTTGAACGCTTGTGGGAGCAATAAATTGATCAGAATCTTGCATATCCGTACTCCGAACGCCTTCGAGTGTGTTCAGATTTAATTCTTCTGCCAATTGATCATCGAGCGTTTGTTCATCCGTTCGTTGAACGCTTGTTTGATCAGAATCTTGAATATCCGTACTGTGAATGCCTTCTGTGAGTGTGTTTAAAACTGATTCCGGAGATAATTCTTCGAGTTGCAGGTAAGAATTATTTTCATTAGAGCCATCAATAGCTTGGTTTGTGATGATTGACTGGGAAATTTCTTGTTTAGCAGGTTCGGGAATGGCAGCACGTTGACTGGATAAAGCATTAGAATCATTGCCTGACTTGTCGACATCACTGTTACTAGCCAATGGATCCAAGTCTTTATTGCGACTAATATCGTCATTTAGAGATTCTGGATATAATAAAAATACGTTAACACAGCAATTCCATGATACTGCCAATGCCAAGCGAAAGCAGCAGCGCAAAAATGCTGTTCTCCAATACCTGCAACAAGCGGTTGATTTTGTAACGAATCGGACTGATATTCCTTATCAGTTTCACTTTCTAATTTAGATGTTTCCAAGGAAATGGACGATGTTTCTTATCCAGATATAATAAATATCGTTGTCATCAGTTTTAGGTAAAAAATAAAAAATTTGCAAAAACTACTAACGTCGGTATACCATTCTCATTAAAAGTTTCATCCTTAAGATTTGCCATGTTTGCGAGCGTTTACCGCAGAACGATGAAGGATATTTCATGGTAGGGTCTCAATGTCTCAATATATATAGTACATTCGGGAGCTTCACCATCTGTCGTGAAACCGCGAAATCGTTTGTTCGTAGAAAAATTCTAGTCATTGACTTTAATCCGTATATGCTATACGTCAAAAACCGACAAAGTGGAACCGATTGTTAAACCGATATGGATTAACGTTCATTTAAGCCGTTGTACCACACAAATAACGATTAGCCAAGTCTGGAGATGTTTTCAAAGACATTTTTCAAAAAAAGACTATTAGTCACCCCTGTCATTTGCATACTGTTGGGACTAACGACTTTTCATGCAATAGACAGAATATATATATTCACGTCAAGCGGTTTATTGACATCAAATTACGTTCAAGTGTTGTTGCCTGCCTTGCCTGCTGTTCGTAAGAAGGTTAGAAAAAATTACGTCATACTTTGCAACGTCCAGATAAAGTGTAAAGTTTAACTAGTGTAAAGAGTAATATATTCGGCTTTTATAACATTCTGGTGATCCTTCTTTTTATAGTATCCATATACTAATATATGGGGCTTAGTAAAGTTAGATGCGCAGTTAGCAAATAGCGAAGAGGTCCCAGTAAGGAACCGAACTGTATTTATGCAGATAAAGATAAACACTACGAAAACAAACGATTTTAATTCAAATCTTACTAATTTCTTCTGCCAATCGTTTGCGGCAAAACCTACGCATTATCATATGACAGAACAGCTTAACATTAACTATATTAATCCACAATGCCTGTGTGTAACATAATATTAGGCAAGCGTTTGTTCTTGAGGCGTAAAGTACTTACAAACCATATTTGTACTTACCTTTTTTTATCAGAACAAAGTATGTTGAGCGGAGCATCTCCGAAAATTGAGTTTGCTAAGCCACAACGAATTATGACTGTTGCGGAACTGTATTCAAGTCCCAATAGAAAAATATTAATTTGGCGTCGTATCCAAGACGATTTATCTCTTCTACGGCTGAAATGTCAACTTTCACTTGACCAATCAATCAATTATCATCACTCGCTTTCGTTCGCAATTAAATCTTGGGTATGCATTCGGCACGAGTAGCCCTGTCTGTTTATCAGTTCAGCCACAACTGCAAGTATTAAAGTTGGTGTAAGCATTACTACTAAATTAGTAAGTCAAAGTCAAAAATAATAGACTTTTGTACTGCATGTAGAGAAGCTAAACATATGCGAATACAATTCTTAAAAGCCCCAAACAAAGGGGTTGAAAGGATCAAATGATACAGAAACTTTTATCCCCAAGAAACTGCATGGACACTTATCAATACTTGTGTCAGTCTAGGTGTTATATTGTATATTCATTTATAGTCGGCATTACAGAACAGCATCACTGTACAATATAGAATATAAACTCAAATTTATCTTATTTGTGCAATGTACGTACATTAAACCTTATCTCAATCGCTAATATACTGTCTTTATGGGACTTTACATAAGAATACGTTTTATCTCAAACATTACGGAAATCCTAACGTACCTCAATCTAGTACTAGTTGGCTAATGAAAGGTAAATTTTAACCGAATGCTGTTGGTTACCAACAGAGGCTTGAAATATTGATATGATACTCGATCAACTAATAATTTAAACCTTACTGTTGTAAGGCAGAGCGTAAAAAAAGTTGGGCAAGTGAATCAAGCCGCAGCAGAAGCTATCTAGGCGATACGTGTTTGGTGACTCTGGTAACACAATTTTGCGGATTGCTGATACAGGTGTCGTGCACATTTAATTATCAGACTTTCTTTCTCACTTTTCTTTTTTTATATTCATAATATGATGTGTCGATCTAATAGTGTATAGACTCAATTTTCAGGAGTGCTGCAAGGATTGTGCATTTTACCAACGATGATTGTATTCGTTCTTGAAATTTTTCTTTGAACAATGCATGTTTTAATGACGTACAGAAAACAAAGCAAAAAGCTAATTTTTAGAATCAGGAAATATAATTTCCGTATTAAAATTTTTTTTAAACTTTAGTTGTTCTAATTGTTTATTTATCCAGCACTGGCATTTAGAAACACGTGGACACGGTGGAATTAGTTATTTTTAGAACCAGCAATAATATATAGGGTGAATGTGACTACAATTTTACTCCAACGAGAAAGCTTCACTTGATTGATGTATCTGGCTTTCAAGTGGCATAGTTAGAAATTTCTGATGCAGGGATATGTCTCCGTTCGATGTTCCAAGATCCGCCGCAATTAAAACAAACGCATTTTAATACCACACCTAGCAATCACTAAGTACTGTATATTGACGTATTGGATCATAACTGGATATGTAGATTGTTTTAATGTAACTTATCAATTGGTGGTATTGTGTGAAACAAATATAGTAGCATCTATCGACTTGAAAATAGGCTTATAGGAGACATTTTCGTTGTGCAGTTATCGAAATAAGCATTGCAGAAATTTTAATTTGCAACCCATCCGAGGAGACAGTAACGCTGATATGTACGCAGGCTCTGTGTCCAGCAGTTTGTTTAATACCACAAATTTGAATAATTTATGAATTGTTTATAGTAATAATTTTTCAATAAACAATATGTACATAAATATAGGGAAATAACCTGTCAGTCTTTCGTAAATTACTCAGTCTTATTATTAACCATTACTATTAATTGCTGTAATAAGTTACCTTATCAAATAATTTTTTTTTTTTTCAATCTGAGATGGGTTAATATAAGAATGAATATAATTGAATAAATAAAATACAAACCAAATATCAAGATTCAAGTCACTTAAATTATAATTGTCTAAATTTGATCAAACAACAAAATTGGAGATTCTGCCCAGATAAGCAATCGTTACTTTCAGGTATGACTGAATCGCTGATTCAAATAATAAGTCCAGGCCCTTTTTATAAGACAACAAGCCCATCTATGATGCACAGTAAATATTATCTCTGTAGCAAAATAACGAGAGAAGTGTTAACCTGAAAATGATACAATTTATTTATAAATATTAGCTGAACAATCGCGTAGGCTTTGCTTGAGTTAATTTATTTTAATAAATACGTAAAAATTCAAATTATCTTTTTTTACTTTCCTTTGCGGGGGTTTGTTTTTCAGCAATGTTTTTCCCTCTCTTTATTATCTTTATATGTCCTTGTCATGTCTTTGATGATTTGATAGGTCTTAGATATGACGTTGATATTGATATAAACAATAGACAAAATAATTAAATAGTTAATACCTGTTCATTAGTAAAAACAGTAACAAATTGAGATTTATATTGTAAAGCAATAATAATCTTTAGCCGGGATTTGCAACTGTAAACTACTTTTAACTTAACTTACGATACAATAATGCGCGCTCTCACAGATCCACAACAAATTACATGTTTCAATCACAGCACGCTTTGTTAAGAGAAGAGCCCAATTATTGTAGCCCAGGATGTAATGTCGCGACATTTCTTAGTATAAATAAAAGACGTGCTGTGAATGCCATGATCGAATTTTAACTCGCTGGTTGTTTTTTTTTCTTCTGAGCTTCAGCATTGGTGATAATAATAAAGGCGTCTCAAAAGGCAAGAACTACTCATGAAAAGATTCATCTTGCCTGGAACACTGATGTATGAGAGAATATTACATACCTATTACTATACAGAGTATAAACCAACTGGCGTCAATTCGCTTGCTAATACAAGCTCGTATTGTTCAAAGTCTATAAACAAAAAAAAATAATACAGTGAGTTAACTCGTACTAATACTGATGTATTAATGTTAATACTACGTGTCTTCATACCTGAGCTGTTTTCTGGCATGGGCAAACTGTCTGTAGATAACAACGTGTTCGAGTATTTAATCTCTTTCTCACAAGATTTACATTTTCTGTCTTATAGATTAAGATGGTATTCCAGATAGTGGCTTCCTTATCACATGATGTAGAAATAAGTTTCTGGACAAGCTTCTTAAGTTTCTCAGCATCTGGTCTATTGCTTGGTTCAGCATGACTTTAATCAACTGGCCTCCATGCTTTGGTGGCCTGCTTGCTACATGTGAGCACTCATGTTCTAATGAAGACATTTCTGTGAGCTGACTGCTGACTGAATTCTATCCATTGCAAATAACCATTATGTGGATGCAGTAGTATAATTATAATAGTATATATATACTGTAATTATACTACTTAGATTAGACTGTAAACTTCCTAGTACTAGATGCTTGTTTGGTCTTTAATTTACGATTGGAGTATGAAATAATAGTCAATAAACATCCCAGATGTTTATTTGGTCTCCAAATTGCGATTGGTTTATCAAAACGAGGCAACTGTTTCAAGATTGTGCGTGATAGTTGTCACTTGATCTTAATACTAATCATTATTAGAAGACATTCAACAACTTACTGAGCATCTTGCATTGAACCAAATAATAAGTGCAGTCGTTTAGTCAGTGTTATGTCTTTTTTGTTTTTTCGTTTTTTGAATGGCTTTAATAAATTATAACCGAATAAAGAGGTTACTACCTACATAAGTGAACAGTATGACACTTGCTACGTTAAACAACTTAGTGCCAGTACATTTCATATAAATTGTTCAGCAGTATTAGATCCGTTTGAGTTATTTATTATTATATTGCTATAAGATTTGCCAGGAGCAACATAGTAAATATTTATGCCACTTTGAACTTTACTACATTGAAAATTTTCGATATAGTGAATTGTCGATATAATAAAGAAAAATCCCCGTCCTGTCGACTTTATTATATCGAGGTTAGACTGTATTCTTATTTTAAAGTTGCAACCAATCCAAGTATTTTGGTTGGTGTATAACCAGTAGAATAGTTTAAGTTAATGTTTACAATAATAAGCTTTTTAGGAAACAAAGCTTATTATAAAAAAAGTCAACTGTAAGTTTCTACAGTACTTTCATTCCGAGTCGACATTCTCCATTGTAACGAATAGTAAAAATGTACCACGGGTCAAAAATTGTTGACCCATTATTTCGGGATCCCGAAAACATATTCGGAATTTTTATCACTGTAACAGGTATTTTGTAAACTATACTAAATATGTATAACAAACATTTTTTACTTATTATAACGTTATATTTTCAATAGCAATAGACGCAACTTGTTCTATGCGGTTTGACCTATAACTACACATATGGCCGCCCATTCACCCAAAGCCATTATATCACTTCATAATGTGCAATAATGATATCAATAATATAATAAACACCCGAACAAGCGAATTTATTTATGAATAGCAAATATGAATAATAATAAAAGTTTCTAATTAGTTGACGCTTTTATCAACTAGCGATTATTTGTTAACGCTGAATATACATTGTATAAAACAGACTACATCGCACATATTCTCTCTGACACACACATTTTTTGAGTAATAGAATTTTTTTCGTTTCGCCAATTTGCATTATACTGAACGCTTACAATACCCGGTGTTTATATCTTGGATTTGCACTTGCTTAAGAAATAATCTCTGTCATGAGCTATGTATTTGTAGTCACCATCCGGCTGAATTCTCAGATCGATAAGTCCACTTGAACCCGCGACATAAATTCATTGGCAATAATGGGCTTGCAGATATTGGAGTTAACATTGACCATCGACTTGTGCAGAAGCTACATGCATTGACAAAGGCGACAACTAATTTTCTAGGAATGTAGCTGTATTGTTTCTTGAGCTCGTCGAATGTCTTTCCGTACCCAGCGTGTTGCAAGTTTTCATGAACAGAACCGAATTGCATCATACATATATCCTCTTTAACGCACACTGGTTTTTGCTTTTTTTGAGTAATAGGATTTTCGTTTCGCCTATATGAATTATACTGAACGTTTGTTTACACTTTATCTGACCGCAAGAATTTCAATCGATTTCTTGTTCAAGAATGGCTTTGCATGATGCTCATACATTCAATATCAAAGGTGTTATTAGAACTAGCGGTGATGAATTTCTTTTCATAACGCATCTAAGCATGCTCGCACGTACAATCTTTCCTCAGCCACCTCCCCTCTTTCAGATCTTCCATCCTATCAACCGAGCCCTGTATTTTACCACCTAATATATGTTTGGTTCCACTTGGACATTAACACTGCATCCAAATCGGACTGCTCGTAATAATTTATCAATATCTTTGGCAAATAAAACGGCAGATTTCTAATGTTATAAGCACATTTATTTATCGTAGCAAAGGCTTGTCAAGAGAAAAATTGTACTCGAATTCATATTACAGAGTGAGAGCGAACTAGTAATATTGTCCACTTATGGAAATTTACAAAGTTTGTTATAATAAAACCATAGCTAACAAATGCAAGTATTGATTCGTAGTTGGTGGCCATATTTGGCAGCAAACCGCGTCTTTTTGTTTATTATTGGCGTTATAAATTAAGGAGTTGCAGGTATATAAACGTACTACAGTCAAAACTGGATATAACAATACCTGTATATAACGACAATTAGACCTAACGATAAAATTTGTCACTACCGAAACATTCTTAATTTCACCTGGTTATACCGATTTTTACATTAAAACCTCGTTATTACGTATACGATGTACCAACTATTGTAGCAATATATTTTTATACCGATATTGTTGTGTGACATCCAATCAAAAACTGTACGAATTTCGAGTATTAGTATACTGTAATAATATTCATTTCTCATGTTACTCAATAAACGAACTACCAGCGTCAACAAAACATTTGAGAACACGCTTGACCTTTGCACAAAAAAAGGATGTGTGTTAAACTCTCTAGTAAGCCCAAACCTTCTCAGGGAGCTTACCGTGAGGAAGAGACTGTTTCCATAAAGAACGTGTTAGAAAGCTTGGATATTTTCTCGTTCATCCACCCGCAGGTTTTAATTGCGATGCAAGTACTGTATCAACAGGATGCTCCTTACAAAAACAAGTGCTAATAATAAGAAACAGCCAATGCTAGATTTTGCCAGAATGTAGTTTGTAATATCATTGAATCTTCTTTTTTAATAAAACCGAATATAGATAATATCTTGTATGACGATATTTTTTTCGTAACTATTATGTTATCGCTATAAATAGAATTCCTGGTATTAACGATAACAATCATACGAGTCTTCTGAACCATAATGACTGTGGATATTCTAATGCATTTATCAGGCTTCTGTTCATTGGCGCACTAAATATAGATAGCAAACAATTCGTTGGCTCTTGTTTATAATGGACATTAATCCTCATATGTTAACTGTAACGAACAGAGGGACTTTCGATGCTATAAAAGCGGTTGTAAGATGTTCCGTTATCTTATACTAAAGCCGTATTTTTTTTCTCGCTTCGGACTTCCCGTGTGCAACAGGTGTAATAATTTAACCAATTGAGTGAGTCATGAGAGAAAAAAAAATGCAATCTTCAACGAAGAACACAGACCTCAAAACCTCACGAAAAATGTATTAGAAGAAGCACAGAAAAATCAGGTCCAACCCGCCAATTGATGTGTAAAGCCCCTCTCACTTTTTTGTTTTGGAAACTAGAGCGATGCAATGCAATCAATCAGCAGGTCGTACGATTACATCATGCATAAAAAGTTCCACGATCTTCTAAATTTATTATGTTGATCGAACATTTGTGTTACGCAATCGATTTTTCAGGTATGTGAATTTCGGAAATTTGGTCATAGTAACAATCATCAGGTCGTACGATTACATCATGCATGAAAAGTTCCATCATCATGACCTTCTAATTTATTCGTGATATGTATTACGAAGTAATGGCCTGATCGCGATTTCCCTTTTCAGGCAATCCGGCTAATTCTCAATGTCTTCTTTCTATTTTTAAACCGCAGTTTTTCTCGTATAATACACAGAAAATTAGGAGCGTATGATGAATACTAAAGGTCGGGAAAATTGGAATCGTATGATCTGATCCGCCATAATTTTAAGACATAAATACTCGCTTATTTGATTATTCCGTCAACACTTTATTATTCATTCAATCTATGATACTTTTATTATGGATTTTCCTTTATCCGTAATTTTTTTTGGACGTACCGGTGAGGGAAAATCTACCCTCGCTAATATGCTGATTCAACCTGATCTTTATTTTGAAAATAACCGCTTTCGTATCAGTGATGGTGCAATTGGAGAAACTTCTAAAATAACATTTGCCTGTAATAACACGTTTATAATTTATGATACTATTGGGTTATGTGAAACATCCAGGGGTAACGTATCAAACAAAAATGCCCTCAGAGAAATCAAGAACTATTTTTCAAAGGTTCAGGATCCACTTAATTTTATATGCTATGTTAAAAAAAAGGGGAGGATTACCCAGGAAGACAAAGACACATTTAATGTGTTTAAGGAAATCTTTGCAGGGGGAGAAACTAATTTTGCTATTGTAATTACCAACTGTGAAACGGATTGGATACAACAAAACATTTTAAATTTACGAGAATCTTTTGGAAATTCTCATATTATTGGAGTTGATTTTCCCATTAGTAACAGTTCCGATGAGACTAAACAACATTTCGAACGAACAACAAGGCAAGACGATAGAAGGAGGCTGATCAGTTTTTTTATAGACAATCATTTTAAAGGTATCAAATTAGACATTCTTGAATACGCACCTCTACTTGAAAAAAGATTGGAACAAATTATTTCTTTTACGCCCTTGATTGGTTCAACATATGATCTAATGACTTCTGGTATATATCTTGTATTAAGAAAGCCAAATATAGCAAGGAAACGTTTAAAAAAAGGAGTTAAAGGAGTTGCAACAATTATTAGTGCTTTGGCTGAGAATGATCCTGATCTGACTCAGATTTTAAATAACCGTTTTCATTAGACATTATTACACAAATTTCCTATCCGTTATTATTTGTATTAGCAAAATTATGTATCGTATCTTATACTTAGCTTCTCCATCCTTTTATAGCCTATATTATAGTATTATTATTCATCAATATAAGTATTTATTTTTCGTATTTATTTCATATAACTATTTTTTTATCCGGCTAGAAAGTCACAAAGTTTCAATAATATTACACAATATTCAATTTATAAAGATGCTCTTTTGAATAACCATATATAGGTTTTCGTATAAGCAACAAATTTTACCAGAGAAACTGTTAGAGGCATATTCTGTAAGCTGTTAAATATGCGATTTACAATTCAGCGATGATCTTTATTGTACTAGTAAAAGCAAATATCAAATTTTTGCAAAACGGCACTTAAAGATCTTGACCTCCATCTGAAAAGGTGTTGAGTGTCATCGTGGGGTAAATAAAAAGATAGAATCAGTGTTGATAACTCTCCGTCCAGTAAAAGAACCCGAATTAAAATATTTACGTAACGATAGTTTCCCATGTTTATATGTACAGCAATAACTGTACTATTTTTGTTAGACGCTATACCAATAAAGAAAAGTGATCTTATATTTACATTTTTGGTTTCGGATCATATACCAGTTTTGTTTATTACATAGATTGTATAAGTAGGGAAAGCAACGGAAAATATTTTAGAAATCGCTTATGATGACTTACTACACTCGAGTGCGAAATTTTACATCAAACACCAAGTAAATGTCTCTTATCAAGTGTGGTAAAAGCGTTGATATTGTTGATGAGGGTTCAAGGTGAGACTCTGTATCTTCTCAAATAAGTAGCACTTCGACTCTTTAATGAATTTATCAGTAATGTTGAAATCAATTCTGTAAAATCATCTCAAAATCAACATATGGAGTTGGATGAAAATGAAGAAATGGAGCATCGAAATAAGAAATCCTATAGCATAATTAATGTACCACAAAAGTGTGTAAATGAATCCATCTCTGAGTATTATTCCTTCTATAAAACTAGAGCAGTCGTACAATAATAATCTAACCTTGCACGAAGATATAACGGGGTGATTATTATTAAATTAAAGTTAATTAAAATATAAGAATATATTGATTAGGAATATAAGAATTTATTTAATTTTGTTTTTACGAAATACAGAACATCAAGATACATTGGTACGTGTATAATCAGTTTCACGCGGTAAATGTTGTTTAGCTAACTTTTGCAAACGGTAATACTCTTCGATTACGCTTGGAAGCTATGTTAAGATTGTCCCCCGTTGAACAGCGACTGATAGATACGTAAGCTTGGCCTGCTGCATAGAAGTAAGATGTGTAAGTAGCGAGATACCCAGTGTATTATTTCATTTTGGACATAAAATGCTACTTGAACGGATAGTGTCTCCTTGTCAAAATCCGTAACAATTCCGATCGTTCCATTGCAGATACCCTTTTCTATCGAGGAATTATTTAAGAACATTACTCTCGCTCCCTGTTGTATACGTAATGAAGGAGATAAGTTTGTTTTCAGTTTAAAGTCAGGCTGCGTTATTTCGGTCGGCTGTTGGACACCGTTGATGTAATCAAGTACGTCACAAATCATAAATTTATCATTCTCTGCAGACGATGCATTATTTATGATACGATTTAGTTGATCAGCCGTCTGCTTATAATATACGATATGTGTAGTAGTTATGAGAGAAAGTAATGAATGTTGGTTGCGGTTTATAAGAATTTGCCCTTTGTAGCAACGATTCCATGTTTCGTCAGAAATATTGCCGAATCTTATTTCTTCCAGCATTTGATAGACGTGAGTATTTGCTTGATGACGTTGTGGTTGGTTAAGGAAGAATGGATAAAATAAATGCCAAACAGATGAATGAAAGACATATTCGTCACGTACAGGAGGTAATTGTGCTAGATCTCCTACAACTATAACATTTATGTCTCCAAATGCTTGAGGATCGATGCAAATAAGTTTGAAATAAATGTAAATAGTCAAGCTGAGACCATTGAGATTTCATCAATAATAAGTATTTGAGTTTTTGTTAATTGATTGTTGTCATGAAATGCCAGAGTTTGGTATCCAGCTTCTGTGTAAAGCTGAATGTATAGTTGAACCACTTACATTTAGAACTGTGACACCTGTGGGTGCTAAAAGAAGGTAATTTTTTTTGTTTTTTTTTTGTTTTGCATTAAATAGTTGGCTATGATGCTGGCAATGTATGATTTGCCTATTCTTGCAGAACCCGTTATAAAAAATAAGGATATTTCTTTTTCGATATTTGAATGATAGTATTAACGACTCGGTATTGGTCTTCAGGTAAATCAAGCATGACAGTCTTTGGTAGCATAGGTGGTAAGCAAATTAGAGATTTAATCTGGGAGTGCAGTATTTCGGTAACGTTGGCTCTTAATGAAGCTGAGTTCATTGAGTAAATTTGTTATAAAGCTGTGAAATTGATTTTGGATTTGAGCTTTATAGCTGGAACTTGATATTTCGATAGCTGATTCTATATTAGGATTTAAATGTAGATAATGTTCACGGTTAGTTGGAAATTTACCGAGTATTTCTTCTTATCGACAAGGCAATGTGCAAAGCAATTGTTAATAGAAAAACGGCTCCCCATCATCAACCTTTAAGTGTCAAAATCTAACAACAATTGGAGAAGAACGTCTAATGGCAAAATTATTAAGTTGGTCTTTATAAATCTGGATTTGTTGAGTTGGTGGATTTGGTAAAGATACTGTAATTTATGAAGTAATCCAGATAAGTGATTTGTTGAAAAAGCGGATCTAATGGATGAGCGAAATATTTGTCTATGTTGTCATCCCAAAGGATTATTGTCATCGTCATCTATCAAACAAATAGGTCGGATCTTGTATTAAGCATCTCTGTAGTTAGATACTTTACTACAATAGACGAATTGCATATTCTTTCCCCTAGTAGCAAGAATATACATTCCATTGAACCTAGACGTCTGGCTACTACATGTTCTTGATATTTATTACCATCTGTTACATTAAAAATATGAGTTGGTCTGGTTTTACTACATACTTTGTGATATATTTTCCCAACCGCGAGAAGTGACATATTGAGCATTCATGTGAGCATCACAATCAGTAAAGTTCGGGATGATATGGGACTACGTGTACCCACTGATCAGATGCAACGATATACGTAACGTATTTGTAATACGTCGCTGAAGAGTAAGGTCTTGGAAAACCGCGCTTGCATTGTTGTCCTAGTGGAGCTGGTCCACAACATCGCTGAGGGCTACATGTATGAATTTGATGCCTAACTACTTTCATACAGCTCTGGTTTATTTTGTTTGTCAGGCAAGTCTGATCGAATAATATGTTCATCTGTCATACTATCAATCGATTTGGTAACCAAAAGGCATGAATGAACGTGCGCAGCGCCTCGATTTTGAGAGATTAATTAACAAAATATAAAGTGGTGTGTAAGGGCCGATTAGTAGTAGAGTACCTCCATTGTCAGTGGATTTTAAAATTTCTTTGAGATGAGTCCATTTACCTTCCGCGTAAGAATAATGATGGTAGACTATAATGTTCAATCATAGCATTTATATGTAACAGCTTTTCATGAAAGTACGAATCGCTAGTTCGAATGAATATGTTGGGTAATGTAACTGTTTTACTTTCATCAATAATCCAGTTTCCGGTGCAAATGCTTTGTGTGATCAATTCAGCTGTAGTCGGGGGGGGCTTGTATATAATGTACGTTGCGAATTTGATAGTTTCTCTAATTTCTCTAACTGTAAGTATGACCAAAGTGGCAAATACGGATGTAAACGAAAATCTGGTGCTTCGGGACAATCCGCAAAATAGAAATGATCGTCGTCAACATTCAATTGCCGATACGATCTGAGATTTATTACTACAAGATGTCCGGTAATTACCAGCTCGATTCAATACTATTTAGCAAAGTTACATGGATTCCACATTCGGAAATTACCGAGATAACGTCAAGTCGAACCGACGCCGACTTAACTATTCAATACGCCATACGCAGACAGACATTGTATAATGTGCCAATCATTGATGATACGATAATGTTGTTATTACTTGGAAACACCGAAAAATGTAGCCCGGAACTTGTGAGTGAGTTTGCTAGAATATACTCACTTCCAGCACACGAGTACAATAATAAGGCTAGTTTATATAAAAGATATCCCAGATGGCTTAAGGAGCGCAACAAATTCATAAAAGGATTCACCAAGTATGATAACAGCTATTACATGGTTGCTGATAAACGCTTTTATCATTGCTATTCTCGGTATGGGTTTTGCTCTGCATGTGGAATACTCAGGTGTAGTCCTGTGTGGTGCATTTGTGGATATAAACAAATATCCGATGGATGGACTAGCAACAATAAGCAACTCGATGTGTTTATTAAGAAATCACAAATCCAAACAGAATCAGCCAACGAATCGTATTTGGAATGGATTCCATTTGATTGTATTCAGATTGAAGAATATGGCACATACTTAAAAGGTCTGCCTACTAACGGTGTGAAATTAATTCCACTTGAGATAACGGATAAGAAAGATGATTTATATTATAGTAAGGTAAATATTTGATCATTTTCAGCAACATCGATAACTATTGATTTAATGAATGTCTGGTTCTCAATCAGTTATGCGATAAGTATCCAGATATGCTTACCACTGATATTTGGATCAATATTGGGTTTACATACAATGCTAGTGACCAAAAGTATTATCTAATTGAAGTTGAATACGAAATTGGATTATGCATGGCGTGTACAGAACCATATGAACCGATGATAAATGGATTTTGTTATTGGTGTAAAGCGCCAAGGCCTCTTGATTGGACGACTAGCAACGAGTCTTTGAATTCATTTATTATGGAATCATGGAGTAACATGACAGAAATATATGACACCTATATACAATGGATAGCGTATACTCGACTGGCAAACATACAAGAGATGACATCATTACGGCATGGATGCACTCATATAGCGGATTGGTTAGAATCGACAACAAATGAATGGAGAAAAGTAACACTCAAAAAGATAGTTGACAGGCAGGATGCCCAATCATTTGATTTTTACCAGGTAAATTATTTATTAATTCAGGTATGTATTGCATGTTCAAGTCGATTGACAGCACTGTTCCTTTGATTAAAAATTTTTTAGCTGATTGAAGATTACCCGGATATACTAAATCCGTCTAATATTTGGATAATTGGAATAACTCGAAAACCATCTACCCATGCATATTATTTAGTGTTTTACCATGAAATACATGCAATATTAGACAGATTTATACGAACAAATGACGATGTAAGATCTATGCAGTATACCGATTTTGATGAAATTGAAATAATTGGAACTGGCGGTTATGGAACCATTTATAGTGCAAAATATAAAAAATATTCAACGGAAGAGTATATGCCAGAAATTGTTGCACTCAAACGCTTTAAGAGTTTTGATCAGGCGCCGGAGTTATTTATATCCGAGGCAAGTGATTTTGTATACCTAATTAATATTAAAGCGATACTTAATTTGACTTCTTCATTCTCATTTAACAGTTCATAAATAATACCAAATGCTTATCTTCATATATTACATTTCTTGATATATATGGAGTAACTCAGGATCCAGAAACAAAGGAGTACGTGATCGTGTTACAATATGCTAATGATGGTAGTCTTTTGTCTTACTTGAATCAACATATTAACAAATTGACTTGGGAGATGAAACTAAAGTGTTTGAAGAAAATTGCTGACCGTCTACATAACATCCATGAAGCAGGATTGGTCCATTGTGATCTTCATGGAAGTAACGTAGTATTGGATAGTGATAGTAACATGTCTGCTACAAAAAAAGATTTTCGTTTAAGTAAACCATTTATCTGCGATCTTGGTCTTTCTCGATCGGAGCAATCTAAATCAGATTCAACAATTCAAGGCGTTTTGCCCTTTATTGCACCAGAAGTCTTCCATACTCGCAAATTCACTCAGAAATCAGATATTTATGCGTTTGGTATTATCGCATATTTGATTGCCAGTGGTGAACCACCGTTTAGAAACAGATCGTTTGACAGAAACTTATTATGCGATATTTTGGGCGGACTACGACCACCAATGCCGGATGTAGCGCCAGAGGAATATAAAAAACTTGCAGAGATTTGTTGTGATGCCGATCCTGACAAGCGTCCAGATACGGACAACCTCTACAGATTGATTTCTGAAGCACTGGATAATATTGACGATGACAACAGCGTATGGGACACCATATATCATAATGAAGTAAAGCCCCTATCGCGTCTTGAGAAGGAAAGTAAATATTCCAGTAAGCTTCTGCCTACTGGAAATTTGCCCAAACCAAGAAACAGTTATGATTTTAATTCAGTCGAAGGTATGAAGACAAAAATATATTATAATTAGTAAGTTACAATCAACGTACATCAATATTAATAGAGATTAACGTTGTTAATTTCTTATTACATTTTGCAGAGACTCAAAATCTAGGAACTGCGTAGTGTTAATGACTCAAATTTTAGTAAATTTTTGTGATGCACGAACCTTAACCTGATTGAATAGCCTGATATGTCAATAATATATTTTCATTCGTCGTTTTCAATGTTCGCGCTAACCTTTTCTGGTAAGTATAAAATTTTCACCCTAAACTGCTTGCAGGGTATTATACTTTAATCAGTCCCCCTCAAAATTGTGCGGATAATTTGGACATATTAATATACCAAATTGTGAAACTAACAAAAGCATTGTCCATAGCATGCAAAAACAAGCAAAAAAATTAAAGCGAAATTGTATTAATGGCTGCCCGTCGATTGGTTTTACATTTTTCGAACTTCGGTAGTTGGTTTAGATAAAAATAAATCTGGTGGACAATTTAGGCGTTTTGATAAGCATTAACAGATTGGTGTCGAAATAGTTGTTGGGGAATAATTGTCGGGGAAATAAACTGTCGGGAAAATAAATTGTCGGGAACTGATCGGGAAAGTGATTTTCGGGGGAAATGAACGGCTCGCGTGCTGGATATCACCTCGATTGGTAAAGAAATTACGAAGAAGCATATGCCCAGTTTCTTTGTGCCCCGTGTTGTTATTGTGGCCGATTACTTTATCAACTTAAAACTGTGTGGGTTTGCAGAAATTCAATTTACTCTTTTCAACAGCTAAGCAATTATCTGTTCCCCATTCTCATCACAATCTGATAGTTGATCTGTATAAAAAATCTTAACATATTTAGCTATACATATACAGTACTGTATCAACTGTTCACGATGCCTCAGCGTACAACTTGTACGCGCACACCGCTGATTGACCAGAGACTTTTGTAACACACTGTATATGATTCTTGTACCATCTGGTTTGTACATAGTGTTCGATAAGTGGAAATTAATAGTTTATGCGACAAAATTAAAAGTCATACAGCCCAGCCAGATTAAGTTATAACCATATTTTACTAACTTTTACTTTGTTTACTACTGACGATCTGTTTACCTTTTGTCTCAATAAACACGAATACAATCCACCAAATTGCACAAGCCCAATCCATTCAACATTTATGGAATCAGGAAATTAAAGATGTTGCTGAAATTCAACATCGAACAGGTATCCCGTGATCAACCATTATTATAATCTTGCAAAGTTGAAGAAAACTGGGACTACGGCCCACAAAAAGCGCTCTGGTCATCCCAAAAAGATTACACCAGAATGTTCGGTCAATGTGTTAGACGGGATTTGGCAATATCGTCAAGAATATTGGCCAAGAAACTGTTACTAAATGTCTCTTATGTAACAGTTTTGCGGCATTTAGCTCATCTTGGGTATGACAAAAAACGTCCACTAGCGACGCCTATGCTCACAGCAACTCACAAAGAAAAACGAATATAATGGGCCCAGAAACATATCAATGATACTATTTTGGTTGTTTCGGAACACAATAGAGTACTGGTATAAAGATATTCGGCCGGTTCGTCCCATTCCTAAAGACCGAACCAGAATTGATGCCTGGGGCGGTTTTTGTATTAAAGAAAAACCAGTCTCTTTTGTTTTCGTGAAAACATGACTCAATTTTATGTTGTTATCATAAAAAACCATCTTCCTGAAGCTAACAGATGCTCAATAAGAAGTGGTGACTCTAACAAGATAACGATCCGAAACATACGAGCAAAATAGCCAAAGAATTTCTTTAAAGGAATGTTTCGACCGTTATGGACTGGCCCGTAACAGTCCTGATCTAAACCCTATCGAAAACCTATGGGCCATTGTTAAGGGAAGCGACAACCGAAAAATATCGCAGAATTAGAACAGTTTATGGTAGAGGAATGGGATAGTATTCCGTAATATATTATACTTAATTTAATTAAGTCAATAAAGGAACATTGTCCTTATTATTGATAATAATGGGGAGCAAATTCCTTATTAATTTTTTTAAATAAAATCTTCTGGCATGCTATTACTATGGCTAAAAATAGACGTCCAAAGATTTTTGTAACACATATTGTTCGTATAAATTTCCATTTGGTGATACACGATCTGTCCCATCTGCCAGATTCTATTCTCATAATGGTGCATGTTGTACCTCAGATCAACGAGAATACTGAATATGAAGTTTACTGGCGGTATTAAGTGGTTCGAAAGTCCACATGCTCTATTCGTGATATAGTGTCACGTTCGAGAGCTGAGATTGACTTTATTTTGATTTTTGTCATAATAACGATGACTAGCAAACAAGTAACATAGCGATGTACCAGAACTGCTTCATTATTGCAAGAAATATAAAGTTGAACAATGGGGGGTACCTTTGGGGGTCAAGGGCCATTCCTTTGGCTACAGGGACGTCCTTCGGGCTACCCCTTTCACCATTTAAGGGGGTCCTGGTGGATGGGTACCCCATCCCGGCGCGATCGTTGCCGAAAGTCGTACCCTGCCCATGTGTTTAGTCAATATAATATATTCTAGTCAATGTCAAAAATATGTCACATGTGATTCATTTTCCAGAGTAAAATCATGCTATGTTGTACATAAGACAGCTAGGCACGGTATTTTTGTGTTAGTGTAATAGTAAAGAATGTTTGTCCAACATAATTTATAGATAACGGAATAAAATTTTGAATTATGCTCACGTAATAAATAATGGCTGATCATTGGATAGATTAATATTAATATTGTTTTGTTTTATCGTTTAGTATTGATGCTCGAAGGTCAAATTATTGCAAGTAAACTGAAAGCATTTTCCTAAAGATAATCAAATTTTATAATTATCAACACACCTCGGATTGTGCTATTATTTTAGACAAGCATTCGATTAAATACGATACATGTTCGTGATAGTAACGGATTCATAGTTACAGTCAAAACTAGATATAACGATACCTGTATGACTGTACATCATTCGAGCATATTGGTCCAGACTTGGTAATTGTCCCACCAGAAGTTACCTGAGTTGTAATTAGTATTCGATTGTCTGTATGCTGCGATTTACATAGTATTTATTAAGAGAACATAAATGTAAGGTGCCATGCCATATCCAGTTACCTTCGGAATTATCAACCGAATACAAAATTGACCGATTAAACGCTTATATTACTTATTTACATCACTGTTTGCTTTTCCATACACATTCTTCTCTTACGACAGCTGTAAGTTAATTTTGCCAATCGATATCTTCATTTAATCGAACACTCTAGTTTGTAGGCGTTGTAACTAGATTACTTACATATCTGGTTTCACACATCTCCTTCTATCAGATGTTATACTTGCAGGTTTCCAGTCTGATAATAAGAAATGCAACAAAACGTGCACTAAAAACTTTCAGAGCAGAAGGCCATCAAAAATGGATTTGGTTTGCGATCGCTTCATCGGAACGTTTGGACTGTATTGGTATGTTTTGATGGCATATGTAACGGTTTAAATAATGTCGTATGTACTACAACGTCTTAATAAACTTTAGCAACAGTTGAAATAGCCATCTGAGCGTCCAATAATATTTGAGCTCCTGAGAACAACCTGGCAGGTAAATTCCCGATCTCCTCCATAAATAGAAATATTATGACATGTAGATTACCGCACGATCATAATGCGATCACAATGACCATGCGAGATCGATCGGGCCACATGCAAACAGCAATAACGTATGGTCACGATAACCATGTATCTAGCGTTAATATTCAATCGACTCTATTCCTTTCTTCAACTTTGGATAATTACAAAATTTTATTTAGGAAACTAGTTTTCTTATAAAAACGACAGCATTAAAGTATGCTGGACTGTGTCTTCCCTAGAAAGTCTTTTCTTTTTGCTTTTTCAAAATTCTCTACTTCAAAATCTACTTGTTGACGCATTAAATTCTCTACTCCAAAATCTCTCTACTTCAAAATCTACTATTTGTCGACGCATTAAATTCTCTACTCCAAAATCTACTATTTGTTGACACATAAAATTCCCTACTTCAAAATCTACTATTTGTCGACGCATTAAATTCTCTAATTTTTCACTGCACTCAACCGAAAAACTTACCAGTTATTGATTAACAACTAAAAAAACTATGACGTGCCCAATTTTTTTCCTACTTTTTGCGTTTGCTCAAATTTCAGTAATCAATGCTATTCCGCTTGGAACTTTCTTCAGTCCATGTACAGACTTTTCTCTCAATGCAACGATGTCATCTGACGAACTCTTTAACATTCCCGGAACCGCGCCAATCGAATCTTGCTGGAACTCTACTATGGAAATCGGTTTTTACGACCCAGACGTTCAGCGACGATTTTCGTAACACTTTCTAAATTGAAATGCCCAGCCAAAAAGATACTTTCTGTACAAAATTGAGCCGAAACATTTGCCTGAAACTTATATAAAAGTTTTGGGCCCAAAAAGAACAGTTTATGTGCGCTTCGACACTATTCTGAGCTATTTCACATTTTAATTATTTCTTCTAATACTGTCTGTTATTTTGTTTTGTCCTACGATTCTTTTTTTTCCCCATGTATACTGCACATTTGATAATATTTACTTAAACGCTCAATAAGGGATTTTGAGCCCAAATCGGGGTGTATTCTAGAAATAATATACAATAGAGAAGAAACATTCTTATCACAATTTTTGTTGCGACACCTAATTTTAATACCGTACGCATTAATATAATATATAATAGAACGTGTGTGTAGACTTTTTTAATTATTTTCAATGATGTGTGCTTATTTGACAATATTGACAATTAGTAATATATTGAACTTTGTTCCTTGCTAAAATAAAGACATGATTTTGAAAAAAAAAATTTGGTGAAGCACTAAGTTTATTGCAGCATCTTAAAATGCTCAATACTGGCGTTTGGAGAACGAATTTAGTCACAGTATTACTACGTGGTGTGGAAAGATACTTGCATCAATTGGTAATTCATGTTGTAGAGAGTATTTGGTAACTGTTTGGAATAATAATAATTGTTATTTGCAACTAACCTATCGTTTTACTATATATTGATCCTGTAATAAATTCAAATTCCCACACTTCTATCAGACAGCAATCTGTCCGGTGTATTCTACGATTACTTCCTTGGTTTATGGTGCTCATGATATTTTCTACGCTATGTTTTGCATTTTCGATATTGTAATTTATATAATGCCTTGCATGTGCTGGCTGCGTTTATTCATAAAATACAAGGGAATATACTATATACTATAATTATAATAAAGCCATTATTAGTTGTTCACCAAAATTATAACAATGTACTGTTAAATTTCAACCTTTTAAACTCCAAAACACATTGCTAAATCCCTCAACAACAACCTTTCTCTCCGCCTCTAATTTGTCAAGAGCATCTTTCAATTTCCACTGTCTAAGTTCCTGCTTGTTTTGTGAATCCGTGAGATGATTAATACCCTCGGGCATGCCGTAACCCATATACATATGCACTACTGTCATAGCATGAATTGTGTTTGCGAAAAGCTGGTTGGAAAGATAACTTGGCGGTAATGAAGTTGGAGTTGGAGATGGAGATCGTGCTGGATATGGAAATGAAAGGTTAGGAGAACCGTAATCAGGGTTTGTTGTATCAAGCGCTATTTTAGAACGACTATTCGTAAAGCTGTTTCCATCGTTATTATTAAATTCACGCGTGCGCCCAATATCGCTTAGATTGGTCTCGCTTCCGTTCCTGCTTCCAAATCGAAGCTCATTTCCGATGCCATCTTCACTCGATGTATTGATGGCAGGAGGACCGCCCCAACTCCGCCATTTCTGTCTTTTATTGCCGGTAAATTGACTTCCACTCGCACTCGTGAAACTCATATTTGTAATTCCTTCGCCTTCATTCCCGTGTCTCGACCAGTTACCGCTACTGGTTCCACCACCACCATTGATCTTTTGGTGAATAAACGTTCGTAGGTATAGATTAAGTGGCAGTCTATAGCTTACAAGCAGCTCCAGTAATGTCCATGTTGCAAAATCGAATGCTGACGCTGGAGTGAACGAATGAAGTTGATTGTCATCTACGCTGGTAGTAGCTAGGTTATGCGTGCTTGTATTAGGTGTTGATCCGCGTGACCACTGACCATATTTATATACGCCACCTGCAATACCACTCGCCGGTCCTAGGGTCTTTCTGATAAACTGAGAAATTTGCAACCACATTCCCGGTACTTTAGTAATCCATTTCTCTCCTCTTATTAATGCAATCTTCAATGCCGTGAATGAGATTATGAACTGGGCCACCGAAATCCGTGTATTAGGTGTGTTGTCCTTTACTGACATCAGTCGGCTCAGTCTGCTATCTGATTTGATACTAATGTCATCCATCTTGTCTCCTTTTTCCTGTTTAGTCTCTATTTTCTCGTCCGTTTCAATGTCGGAATTTATTTGATCAACCGTAGTGGAAGATGAATTGAGAAAATTGAATGCAGACGTCTTAGATCGTGTGATTGATTGGCTTGTACATGAACGAATGATATAGTCTATGAGGCTAAGCCAATTCGATATGTATTTCTGTTGAGGGTTGATTCGTGGTAATCGGGGTGGGTTCAACATGAATGTGTTCGACGTGTTGGATCCTGATGCATTCGCTCCTCTGAACGTTCCACTACTACCTGTTGCATTCGGTGTTCGTTCGTTCACCTCCTTATCTTTATATTCCATAATTATAGGAATGATTACTCTCTCTATAATCCGTGCAGACGGTGGATACTTCTTCAAATCGCTCATCATATCCAAGTCGGTGTATACCATCAAAGCCACAAAGACTTTTACTAAAGAATCAATAAATCTCGTTTGATATATTCGCAAATCCCTCGCATCATCGTCATCCCAGTCACCCTTTAATGCAGCCGACAAACCAACTATAACAAATTTCTCTTTGATGATTGATGCAATCTCATCACCACGGACTAACATGCCATTGCCGAATTTGATTATTGCTGTTAAGCCATCGAGTACACCCGAAAAGTCGATTGATTTGTAATATTGGCGAAATAGTGGTGCAATGTTACGAAGAAGAATTAGGGTTGACTTGCGCCCTTCATCAATAGGACGAGAGAGTGAATAAGCGGTAAGTGGTGTCGTAAGAACGGGCGAGATGGTGGCTGATGGGTTGATTGAATCAGAGAATGAACTCAGTGATTCAACAATGACATCTTTAATATATTCAGCTATAAAGCCGGTTGATATTAAAACTTTCGCATTTGCATAATCTTTGAGCATCAATCGAATAATGTTCGAAAGTTTTGAATGAGAAGCGTCGGACAATCTGCCTCCATGTCGAGAATAAACACGAACGAGGTGAAGGAAATTGAGCTTGATAGTTACACGATCGTTCTGAGGCCATTGTTTGCCGTAGACATAAGGCTCGGAAATCTTGTAATCAAATGAAGTCGCTGAATCGGATGCAACATCAGATGTTGACGATGTCATGGTCGATGCAATAGAAATCCTTGTTGGTGGCAATGTCGACGATGCTGTTGCTGTTGAGGTTGCTGTCCCAGTTGCTGTCCCGGCTCCACTCATATTCCCAGTCCCCCCACTTCCAACGCCCACACCCTTTCCGCTCTTTGCAAATTTTAAGAATACTTCACACAATGCAGCCACCCCTTCCTCAACTAATATTGCCAAAGTGTTCGATTCTCTAATTAAATCTCCCAACATTCCTCTTAACAACATTACGAACTGTTCCGCTCTCACCGAACCTGTATCATATGCGATAATTGTCATAAACAATCTGAATAAATCGTCCAAAAAGAAATACTTCTCCTCGGTTAGACCAAGAAGTTCGGGTTTGAGTTTCGAAGCATTAGCAGCCGTAATTGCTGCTTTGCGTACGAGCGGATTGGAAAGAAGAACGGAAGGTGATATAGGAAAATGAAGCATAGGAAGTGTTGTGAGTGTTGGAGGGAGATAGTATAAATCATCTTGAATACCAAGTGAATCCGGAAGTCTTTTTGTGCTCGAGAGGGATTTAAGAAGCTCAAACAGTGACTGCGACATCCACTCGCCGAGGACACGAGATTTAGAATATGCTCGAAGAATTAACGGAGTTAAACATCCCAATGATTGAAATACAAAAGACTCTTCATGAAACTTGTAAAATCTACTCCATGCATAGGTAATCGCTGCTCTTATCGCTTGACTGGTTTCGGATTCACAGTATACCTTAAACACTGCAGGAATGAAGATCGCATACCCTCTGTTGTTATCAAACAATCTATCAAAATGCAAGGCAGCATTGAGATATAGCACGAGTGACTGGCTCACTATTCCATAGTCAGTTGAGTGTTGAAGGAGAATTTTATTTACCCCACTAAGAAACAAGGTAAGTTCCGCACGATCATTGTAGTTGCGATTGAGACTTTTGATAAGAGAATATATTAGATTGTTCCATGCCCGTGCACGTAAAGCGGACAGATGTACGAGATCGGTCCGACTTTTTGCATTAGACGTATAGCCATTTGAAGCATTAGTCTCATTAAAAGAATTGATGCCGCTGCGATCCTTGCGTTTTTCATACTCTTTAGCGTTACCGTCGTCCCAGAAATTCGATCCAAGTCTTTTTTCGTTTCCAACGTCACGCTCTCCATTTCTGCTGCTCAAATCCAATTTGCTACGACTAGTCCATCCACTGCGTCTTTTCAGATCGGGTAAATACATCTCGTTCTCATTCTTCTCTTCTTTCTCGTCTTCAACACCCGCCTTTGTCTTTCCTCGAACTCCACTTCCAAATTCCTCGGAAACATCAAGTTCTTTATACTCCTCAATCCACTTTTTGAAGGAATAAGCTTCCTTACTGAAGCTAATTAAAAAGTTATTCATAAAAAGAATATGTCCGATTCGAAGCATGTATATGCTAAATATGCGTTTGTCGATACCCAGCAATTCAAAGCCAGTGTTGACGGTACCATCCTCATTTCCACTCACGATTCCACTCACATCCATCTCAACAGGATTCCTCGGAAACATTTCTGCTGGACTTCCATCGGAAAACCATATCGATCCATTATTCAACAAGATATGTTCAATTTTATTTTTTCTAAAATCTCTAACAGTCATGTCGTTAACCGTCGGAACCAAATCGGCCAACACGGGCATGATATAACACATCAGTCTAAATCCACCAGACTTATTATCACGCGCATACCATTTGAGAATCCCCGCTAGATGATTAAACAATGTGTGTGAAAATCCGGGAGGAAACACGTGTTGCATCGAGAGAAGATTCCGAAGTTTCGTGAGTAGGGCCTTTTGAGAAGAAAACGACGACAAGCCAAGCTCGGAAAAATAGAGGCGAAGAAATAGCGAAGGGTCGTCACGTAGAAAATAGAGTATCACCTCTTTGGAAAGGGCGTAGACACCACCATGCGTATCGTCAAGAAGATCAACCAGGGAAAGGGAGAAGAGTGAGAGAAGAGGAAGAGTCACAGCGCGCTTTTTGTTAAACGTTGGCTGGATTGCATTGTTCGAGTTTGTAGAATGTCTCTTGTTGTCTCGATCTACAAGTGGACGGTTTCTATTGACTTTGATCTTTCCTTCTGCGTAACTAAGCTTGTTTCCTCCGTTGTTTTCATATTCACCGTATGAATTCTTACTCATTCCCATGATTCCGACCTCCGTTCCTCCTCCATTTTCATTCTCTTCCTGCCTCTCAACGTCTTCTAAATAGAAAGTTGGTAACAAAGATAACGGCGTAACAACTCTTTTCCACCTTTCATGCTCTTTTTCATCCTGTTCCTCCCACCCCAAGTCTTGTATTCGTTTTCTGACTTCCGCTGGTAACGCGTTTCCAGATTTCACTTCTGACGTGCGAGCTGAATCGTAAAGAATTGTATCGGAAGAGCCAATATCAGTCGGGATAAAGGGAATTTGTGGCACTTGAAAGCGTATAAGACGCCGGCGCGACGAAGGAGAGAGGAAAGGTGGGGATAGTATGGTATGGCGGTGGGCAAAGAAAGATGATAAATTTAAAAGTGCTACAGTGCGAGGTAATGGATTTGAGCTAGGCGGTTGGCGGGGAGATTTATGCAATTAGTTGATAGAGCGAATTTTAACAAATTGTGTTATTATTCTGTAAGTCATCAGATCAATATTTCCTTATATTTTATCATATCCTTACCTGTATAGATCGTTCTTAATCAATTCCGATACAATATCAGGTGCTTTCTCACCACACTGAACAAACAAAAATGAAGCTAGTTCAAAAGACTTGTGATTTCTATCGTTTAGAAATCTATTCCATAAATATGGCGCCATTTGCGAATATTCACTGGATGAAAGGGATGTAAAAACTGCAACAAGAAGGGTCAGAGTTGCTTCGGCAAGAGATGTTGGAAATGAGATGTTGGAGATTATGGACGAGGAAGAAGCGGAGAACGAGGGGGAAGAGGATGATGAAGTAAAGCGGTCGAGCAGGAGTGTGTGATTATGAAATGATGACGAGACACCCGGAGAGCGGGACGAACTTGAAGACGAGCCAGGCATACGATATGAGGATGAAACATTGGTATCTGATGAGTCCGTCATCGTAGAAGACGGTGCAAGCATAGATCGTCTCCGCATTTCATTATACGGGCTTAGGGGAATCGAAGGGTTTGATGGAGATGAAAATGCAACAATTGTAGGGACCGCCAGATAGTCAGACATTTCGTCCTATATTCAATTAGAATGATGTGTATATTAGACATCGTCACCCAGCCAATTTCTAGAATCATCTCCCATTAAACTCACTCTTTTATCCTCGTTCAAGCATAAATCATCCACCGTGGCATAAACCACTCTAATCCTTGTCAAGATCATCTCAACCTCATCCAGCTGATCTGATATATGCTGTAACTCTACATCTGCGGGAAAGCGATTACTTTCTCGTTTGCTTACAAATATCTCGCGGAATGTCACAGTTCCGGGCGAGGAGTAAATGAGCCAATTAATGATGCGAGTAAGCCACCCCGGGCGTGATGCTTGTCGACAAAGAAGACGTAAGTCGAGAAAGAGGGTACAGAGAATGAGGCGCAAGGGAATGGGTATCTGAACATGCTTTTCCTTTATAAATGAAGAGTAACAAGTTGGTTTTTTTTTCTTTAAAGTAAAATTACATTGAGATAGTGAACTAGTTAGTAAGCTTTCGATACCTTCGCTGTAATAAAAATGGCCAATTTCCGCTCAAGATCGCAAAGAAACTTGATCGCCATTTCCAATTGTCCTCTAGCCCTTCCGTATTGCTTTAGTAAAAAAAAAAAAACCAGTTATGACAAGTTTCATATGAATCTCACCCTTTCCATTACTTTGAATTTAACTGTAACTTACACTTTGGGACTGAATTCGCAACTCTCTGACAGCCCATGCAAATTCCATCGCAATCACACACTGACCAAGAGTGGTCGAACCCCAAGACAAGTCATCTTTTGAATTTAATTTATCACCGTCACCGTCCTTTTCATTTGCCTCTTGCTTCCCCTTTGCGTTCTCACTGTCACGATTTTGTTTCTCGCTTCCCGTCTCCTTTTTAACATCTTTATCTTTCCCTCTATTACCAGATTTTCCGCTTCCAACATCACTTAACAAAACGATACACAGAAATTCTTTATCTTGCATCCACAATTCGATGGCTGTCATATACCGTCTCAAAGTAACTATCAGATGCAAATACTCTGACACTCTTTCCTCAGAGTCTGAGGCCACACATGCGAGTATGGGTTTATAGAAACTTGGTCGATATTTGGTTGAAAGTGATAAAAGAAGTTTGGAAAGATGCGAGACAACACTGGGCATAGGAGATACTCTTAAAAGTTTCTTTGGGTCGTATGAATGCAAAGACAAAACAGGATAAAAAAGTGATAATAGAAAGTGTTATATAGCTTGTAGCTTTATAGGTTGACAGATTACATTGAATTATACTTACCGCAAATAAGTCTGAAATCGTTTCCTTTACCAATTCTGTTCCTATACTCTCATTAATACCAAATGCTAAATGATTGTACATAAACACAATTCTTTCTAAGGTATCTTGTTCAATCTAATTGAAAGATAGTGACTACATTAGTATATTATAATCTTGATGCATTCGGTTTAAAGTTTCAAACTCCCAGTTCTTTACACTTACTGCCTCTTTCACAAGCATTATTACTTCATGTTGCCATCCACTCATCCAGAGTCCTTCTACGTATTTTTTTGCCATTGAAATAACAACTGTACTTTCTTCCTTTTTATCTTCCTTCTCTTTATCGTCTCTTTTATTGGAATAATTGTCCATTCCCATATCATTATTTGTCGTCTTTGAATTTATATATGAAGTGTTCTCAGGAGGATACACAGCAAGCACACACACGGCAACGCTAACCAATGATCTCACTACATGAGCTGAAGTGTCTTTCAATGTCTTGGGAGATATATTGTTATGTAATGTTTTTAGAATTAAGTAAGCTAGAGAATGCGAGGGAGGGAGAGACGGGGCTGTGGTGTTTGTTGGTGAAAGAATATGCGGAATAGATGGCGTAGACGGAAGTGAAAAGGAAGATAGATCTGTGAGAATGCCAAACGACGCGTGGGCAAATAACTGAATTACGTGTTCGTATAAGCTTTTCATAGTCGGATCTGGTGTGACCCAATATTTCTAAAGCAGAATTGATGGGTGAGTAGAAGCCTTATAAACGGCCAATAATTTAATACTTTGGAAAGACAAACTATCATCCGATATCCATCAACGTTATATTTACCTCGATCAAATTGCCCATCACATACCGTCTCAACTTCCCATCTTTAACCAGACAACACTTGACCAATCCTTCCAAAAACACGCATCTGGCCAAACTATCGTATTTGTGTATCTGCACCCTTGCATTCCCAATCGACATCTCATCCGGATCTATAGATACTAGGGTCCCTGCTGCCAAACGATTCATGAAATTAAGAATCATTGTATGCAATTCTGATTGGACGCTTTGCTCATTAGACAAAGGAGATGATGTAATTACAAGTGTGTGGACAAATGTGTATATTAGAGCATAAATAGCGGTGATTGAGGTTGGGAAATAGGAATTTTGGGATGTGGAGTTTAAAAGGGATTCAGCAATTTTGCAAACCCGCATCTTTCAAAGTCGAGGGATATACGTGAGTGTGGGATACATAAAGAACAAGAATGAATTGAGAATATTGTTAGTAAATCCATATGAAAGTATAAAAAGCATTGACGTCCATTAATTGCACGAACTATCGTAATTGTAACATAACCAATAAATAGCAATTGGCTAAAAATTGAGTTTCACGTGATATTATACTCGCAGACGCGTAAACCCAATAGTGTTAGTCATTGCCGGTGATAATGGGGATACATTAAAGGTGGACCAATGAACGCAGAATGTCAGTAAAAAATAGTTGACTTTTTAAGTCTACGTACTCGTATTTGATTATTATGTGTTTCAAGGAGTTTACATATCCATTGTATTCTTGTAAAGTTTTCCTAGTAATAATTATAATTATCACGTTCAGTAAATCGATTCGTCAGAAAAAAAAAACGCGTTCACATACTTACATTTGGATCAGATGGTCGATAATTTGCTCGTATGTATTCAAAAATATCCAATGCTTGATTACAGTCGTCAACTAAATAATCGTCATTCAAATTTCTTACGGTTAATTAGTAATCAATAAAAGTACATTAAAAGTTGTAATAATAACTGTAAACGCTTTACAGATAACAACACTCATCCACGATCCTACTTTACCCCGACGTTCATGCCCCACCCCGTCGCACTACTGTCCACATGCTTTCTTCTCTCATTCACTCACCATTCACGGGATAATTAAAAAACGGCCTTGCCAATTCAGCAAACACTTCTTGGGCCGCTGCCAACTTAACCACATGCTTCCACTTTTTCAACACCTCTATTAGTTCTCCATAAAAATTCACGCCTTCCCCTATACCTTCGCCACTACCGATCTTCGTCCCCTTCATAAAATCTCCAACAGGCATCTGAGACAAATTTGACAAGTTTAATGCCGGTGTAATGTTGTAGGGAAAGGAGGATAACGAGGAGTGGGATGATGGAGATGAAGATGCAAAATAGTTGCGACGAGATAACAGTTTTTCAAAGTCTTTTTCCATTTTGTGATAATCTGATCGTTGTTGTACGGTTGTCTTGAACCGAAGAACGCCTCGAAGGCCAGGTCCTGTTCCACCGTCGCGGCGAGATTGGTATTGGGATTTTAGCGATTTGGGAGGGGGTGGGGGTGTGATTAGGGTGGACGTCGAACTTGGGGTTGAAAGAACGGAACCTATGGCCGCTGTAGCTGTCGTCGATGTTGTCGTTGTAGCTGCTGTTATGATTCCTGGTGATCCTGTCGCCAGTGGTTCTCCATCAACCGCTCGATTAACATAATTATTATCCTCTATATTTATAAGAGACGATGTTCGCGGTATCTCTGGGATTTGATCGACTAGTACAAGTTCTCGAAGTTTCTGCCAGTGAGAAGGTGCCTGCCTCGATTGTTGTGAGAATGTGGTCGAGGTTTGAGATATCGGAACGGAAACGGAGGAGGAGATCGTAGAAGGTGTAGAGGGCGAAGAGGACGAGCTCGTTTTTGGTACGTTTGTGGAAACGGAAAGTGGATCAGTGAATTGGTCTTTTGAGAAATTTTGTTGATTAAGAAGTATAAAAGATAGAGTGAGAAGAAGGTTGAACATGTAGAACGCAGATCAAAGTTTGAGCATGAACAGAATTGATAGAGAAAGTCAGTATTATATATTATACTGCTTTAATTTCCGGCCGCTTTGTATACCGACAACTGTTTGGCGACGCCTACCTTCCATTCTGTGATGATTCTTTATTAATTGACGCTATAAAGGTATAGCGATAGGATTTTTGAAATCGGCACATATTTGAACAATGTAAATGAGGCAGTGCTAGGGATCGTATCACAAATATCCATTCAAAAACTTGGCTTCCCCTCTGATTGGCTTTCAGGTTTCATGTGCACTGGTATAACTTACCAAGTTTGGCAGAAAATATAAATAACGAAATTTGACAAAGTTTTCTCGGTGTCGTCACTGTGGGATATTATTTGAAGTTATGGATAGTACCCTGTGTCTCTTGGACGGTTAGGAAGCTTGACATAGTAGTAAGTCAGGCTCAATCTGACAATACTACTCTTAATAAATAGACCATCTAACCTTCAATACCATTTTAACACTCGCATTAGACACGTAAATTATGATAAAAATTTATTCTAACTATCAAAGCATCTAATAATCTAACTCTAAGACAAGCCGCTTTTAAATTTCAAGCTCTAGCCAAGCTCTAGTTTGAGTTCTAATTCTACTATAATCGGCAAATTTCACCATCTTTTTCTGTTCGTTCTGATTTTTTATTCCTTTACAAACATTTCGGGCTTATACAACACAAGTGCATGATGACCCTGACAATCTTACTTTCTTTCCACATATCGACAGCGCTATGAATGGTTTTACGTATCCAGATGGTACAGGGCTGATGCAATTGCTCCTGTGTACTATCCTGACAACAGTTTGTACCTCTAGGTTACGCCCATTATATAAGTTAATATCCAGTTAACATGTACGTTCTTGTAAGGTTATGTTAATGTTTCCTTTTCCCATGGTGAGCTAATAAAATAGAAAAGAGATCAGTATCTTGTTAAACGAAGTAAATATAGTAAAAGTAAAATTATAATTAGTTGCTCTTCAAAATAAGGCCGGCCATCCCTACACATAACTCGCCATTACTGGCTCCGACAGTCTCCCTGCCTTATGTTGATTAACAACTTAATAGCAATGCTAATACATGCTAATACGCAAAATTTAGGTGGCGGGATTTGGGGCTCTTAATATCACTGTATCAGGAACACAAGCATGGAGTGCTTTGCCGACATGCGATTCAAAGTATTAGCCACAAATTGCGTAAAAAATTCAGTTTAAAAAAATGACCAAGAATTGTATTCGAACGTGTTAGTTACTTTAGCAACTTAGGAAATAATGAATGTAAACTGTACGATATTATGACATTATCATATATATCATTGTAACATACACCTATCGATGGTTGTGTTTCTTGTACGTTATAGTATTAGTGTGCATACAACTTATCTATAGTTCCACATAGTGATAAGACAAGACTGAAGCAGAATGCCAACACATCATGCTATAATTCCGATCTGACATATTAATATGTCGGTTCCGAATGGACATAAATTCCATCTATATAAATGATTTGACATACGAAAATAAGCACCTCCATACAATCTTTCTAAATGTTTCTACAGCATGTGACTGTTTATTTACACGTATTACATGAAGTTGTTCTGTCACTCGCTGTACCACATAGGTAATGCTGATATCATATTATAAACTTTGACTTGTTAACCTGTAAAAATTTTATTCCAAATGTTTCTACAGCATGTGCAGCATATTTATACTTATAAGGCTAAAGCACTTACAATCCTTCCAAATGTTTCTACAGCATGTGCAGAAGACAAGGGCCCCCAAGGTAACCCCTAGCACTGGTAGAGTAGTCATTGGCTGCTTCACGCCATAGATAACAACATTTATACTTATAAGGCTAAAGCATGTGCAACATAAATAACAACATTTATACTTATAAGGCTAAAGCATGTGCAACATAAATAACAACATTTATACTTATAAGGCTAAAGCATGTGCAACATAAATAACAACATTTATACTTATAAGGCTAAAACACCTTACAATCCTTCCAAATATTTCCACAGCATGAACAACATTTATACTTATAAGGCTAAAGCATTCCAAATATTTCTACAGCATTCCATGACAATTATAAATTTTATGACTTGAAAATTTTTTTTACGCGATATTATGTCATGACGTCGTCATCTAACATGCGAACGTGTCTACTCATACATGTATATATATACCCAGACACTTCCCTCCGTTGTGCATGCCGCTTTACAATAACCTCTCTTCCTTCAAAGCACAAATACAACATTATTTTAAATATACAACGAACAATCCTCTGTTGCCACTCTATATTATGCACATACGACACGAACAATTATCAAACAACGAACGACCCTCTGTCGCCACTCTATATTACTTACATACGACACGAATAAGTTATCCAAAACGAACCCTTAACGACACGGTTTATCGATCACTAGCTTATACTCAGACCCTCGAGGAAAAAAAGGGCCCACACTGATGCAAGAGCGTTTTCAAGGTAAGAATTCTTACTGGGTAATCTGTTGAGGGTCTGTAGCCGAAGGTACGCTGCCACTAGGTATAAAAGCCGGATAATCTTGAAAGCTCTCCGGGCCACACTTGTGATTGTTTTTCGTGAGGGTGCTTAGTAGTGTGTATCTGAAGGGACGCTGCCACTAGGTGTAAATCGTAGTTTTCGAAAGCACGCGGAGTGCAAATTAATCGAAAACCGTTACCGACAAAAAAGCGTGAGCTTTTGTGGTGAATAGGATACACACGAAAAGTAGTTGGGGACCTGATCGTTAAATGATTACTTGTGTGAACGTTCGATCATCCGCTCCGAAGGGTCGTCTGATGCTCACTGTGCGCACAGGCGGCTGTGGTGAATAGGTACATGGGACGTTGATGTGAAGTCATCGCAAGCGTGACATCCTAATGGGTGGTTGCCGCTTGACATGCACGACCTTCATTGGTCCGTGATTCTGATGAAATACTTTACTCACGTTTTCCCCATGAATACCTATCGTCCTTTCGACGATCTTTTTGATTTCTTTATTTACACTTTTCTTCCTTTTGTGGCTATATGGAACTACTCCTTGTTCAAAGGAAGAAAAGCAATACGGATTAGAACCTTTTTTAACTTGGTCGAAACTAATTTGGTTAAATACTCCATCCCATTTGGTTGTTGCTTGTTCAACGAAGACATTTTGTTCCATCATCCAATAACCTATGTCTTTTTGGCACTAATGTCATTAGATGTTCTATTTACATGTTATTGGATAATTATAAGTTGGAAGGAACCGGATTTATCAATTTTCAACATAGATCGCATTGAGACATTCAAAAGATATTGTTTACTTAAACGCTTTCATTTATTTTACTCATTTATTCAAATTATTATACCTACTTATGCGCAAATGGTTATTGTTTTTTTCTTGACAAATTATTACTTTTTTCGAACCCTTTTTATACTCGAAAATGCTTTATTTTACGGAATAACACTGTTCTTTATTATTTCCTTGGGCATTTTTGTTTGGTCAAAAACAAGTTGCTATTTTGCTTTGACTTTTTTCAACTTTTTGTTTATTACGTTACATATTGTATTGTTTATTTCACCAAACAGCTATTTTACCAAAGCGGAAGTTGGAATATGTATGCTTTATCTGAGTAATATGTTCAAACTCAACGATTTTTGTTTCGATCCAACGAAAAGAGATGACTATCTACCGATTATGCTTAAACATTATCACTCCCTACGGTGGTTATTCTTTTGGATATTTTATCCACACCATGACAAATACGAGCAGATCACTGGGGTTGACTTAGCTGATTATATTAAATTTAAGCAAGATCACCAAAGTTGGTTTGTTCGTGAAATATGGGATCATGAGTATGTTAGACAAATACAATATCAAAACGTAGATTCATTTAACATTGTAATTGAATATGAAATGATTTAGTTTTTTTTTTTTGATTATTATTATTACCATCGATAGATTTACCTTGGAATCTTTTTTGTAAATTAACTTAAATCAGAATTTATCTTTCTTAAACTCAGACGTTAGAATGATATTAATGATATTAAAAAGAATATCGCTTTATAAATAGGTGTCAAGTGAACTTGCATTTATACAGATAGTATTTTCACGATTATTTTTTTGTTACTAATTTTGCTTCGCAGGTATATACTATACAATGAAGTAATAGTGCAACCATGACGGCTCTGCTGATAACATCAACAATCTGCTTGAATTACTGCTTAATCAAAGGTGGATTTGTTGTATCCATTGCAGTGGTTCTAACAAACCGCTTGCCAAGTCACGGAAATATAAGTTGTGACACCTTTGACACCTTTGGTGTGTTTGGATTTCTAAAGGAATTATAACTTAATGTAGAAGGGGACATGGATAGGCATCATAACCTAAATTGAATATTTCTTTTCAATGGAAATCGATCAGAAACATTAAGATATACGAAAATTTATATAAGTGATTAAACCATTATCGATATTGAATTTGACTTTCTAAAGAGTATACAAGCTGTCTATCTATCTATCTATCTATCTATGTGTCATAAAATATATATTACGACACTGACGATGGTGTCCAGCCTTGGTATGTACATTATCTGCTCCATTGACTCAATTGTGGCACAGTAATTTTTTTGTTGGCAATGGAGCGAATGGAATAGTTGCCTTTTTAGGATAACCAATAATAATGGCCAATAAAATGTCAAAGCGTCATCTCATCTCATCTCACGGTTTAATATCACGTGTTTTATGAGGTATATCCAGTGGCTTACCATTAGAGCAATGGAGCATTGGACTGGAGCAATGGAGCATTGGACTGGAGCAATGGAGCATTGGACTGGAGCAATGGAGCATTGGACTGGAGCAATGGAGCAT